TTTTTTTTTTGGGGGGGGGGGGTGAATATCAGCTTTTTGATGGGGGAATTTAGCTGAGGTTCATGAACATTGAGGATCATCCCCTGAGCTGTGTTGTAGAATTCATTATTTAGGCCCAACTAGGGCGCCTCACTTAAGAATTGAAGTCCTAACGCCTAGATGTGCGTTCTTCTGTAAGAGAAAGTGTGGCTTAGTTTTTTCATTAACTCTTCTAACAAATTTGTTATTTTTTAAACTTATCATATGTTGTAAACCTTTCCATAATTAAATTTGAGGCCCTTTTTTGCCCTCTGAATGGTGTTTATGGATCCATCATCCCTAAAGCCTCTAGGCTGTGTTCTTTGCTTTTGATGAATATATTTTTTCCTTTGTTTCCCATCAAATGAAAAAACTAAATCAATCGTAATTTATATAGAATCCCATTATGCCACTGCCGAGATTTCTTCCCAGGTTCCAGCCTTGAAATGCAACGACCCAAAACTTGGTTGATTGTTTTGCTTTGCTTCCTTTTGCTGTGGGTCGATTTTCGTCTCATAGTTTGTTTTCACACTTGCAGTACTTCAATCAAATTTTGACAGTGATACTGGAAGTGTTTGATAATTCTGATTCCTCAGTACGTGAGCTTGCTCTTTCATTGATAACTGAAATGATTAAGAATCAGGTAAGTTGAACATTATTTTTCTGATGCTTTATGGGATGCTGCATTTGTGCTATTGAACATAACTATTCAACATTTCCGTAGTACTTTGTGGATGATTTTTTCCTTCTTTAGTGTATTCTCATTTTTATCCTTCAATTTGTAATTCCAGAGGGACTCTATGGAAGATTCTGTTGAGATCGTTATTGAGAAACTGCTTCATGTTACCAAGGACATTATTCCCAAAGTAACTTTTCTTAGCATTCTGGAACTTCTTTTGCCTGTCTTTACCCGTCTAAAATTGCTTCCTCTTCCTTGTACCCTTTATTCAGGTATCAAGTGATGCAGAGCATTGCCTGACTGTTGTGTTATCTCAGTATGATCCATTCAGATGCTTAAGTGTATGGATCTTTGCATTCTATTTTTCTCTTCATGGATATCACCTGTGGATAGTTCTTCATTTTCAATTCCTTCACAATTTCATTGATAATATAATGTATCGGGAAAGAGAAAACAATAGCCCTAGAGATGTAGATTTTGTTTTTAAATGATTATTCTGTTTAATTTTTTTTATTTTTTTTTTCACTCAGCTCTTAAGATTATAACATGCGCCATGTACTTTATTTTGCAGGTTATTACTCCTCTGTTGGTTACCGAGGATGAGAAAACTCTTGTTACATGCATCAATTGCTTGACAAAGGTTTATTTTTATTCCTTTAGTAACCTTGTTACAAACTCTTGTTACACGCATATCCCCTGTCCCCGCCCCCGCCCCCGCCCCCGCCCACCCAAGCACACACACACACACAAATAAGATAGTAGTTTTGAGGTTCAAAACTGCCTCCATTTCCCTCTCCAAATTTTCATCCAATAAACTATTCTCACGTACTTCAGAGCATTGTTGCACAGCAGTTACTGTTATTCATTGGTTTTGGATTCTTACCTTCTGCTACTTGGTTTTTCAGCTTGTCGGTCGGCTGTCACAAGAAGAGTTGATGACACAGTTGCCCACTTTTTTGCCTGCTCTCTTTGAAGCATTTGGACACCAGAGTGCTGATGTGAGAAAGGTAATGGCCGACTGTTTTTCGTTCTTTTATTCATCCACAGGAATGATACTCCCCTTGCCCTGCCTGCCTATAAAGTAAAATAAAATAACAAAAGGCATCCACCCATATCTCACGTAGCCTATTCACTGCCAATTTGCTGCAGACTGTTGTCTTCTGTCTTGTTGACATCTACATAATGCTGGGGAAACAATTTTTGCCACACTTGGAGGGACTCAACAGCACTCAACTACGTTTGGTTACAATTTACGCCAATCGAATTTCGCAAGCTAGGACGGGAACCGCCATTGACGCTTAGCAACAATGCTTGCTTGCTTGCATGCATGCAATGTAATTTCTGATGTGAAGAAGTGTTAGTGCGTATATTCCATTCCTTGGTGGGTAGTTCTGTATATTGTGTGCATACATTGTGGAGGCTTTCTGTCCATTGGCCTATTTATTTTTCCACCCATTATATATTCTTTTTCAAGTCATTTCCTTTTCTTAGATGCCAGCTTGGTTTGGAGTCCAGAGTGTTTTGAGACCCATTATCAAATTCAAATTATTGTGCCCAATTTTGTATCTTGCAGTTCTAGAATATTATTTATATGTTATTGAATGGTTGAGGGGCTCAATTTTTTTTATTCATTTTCCTCCTATAAATTATTTGTATATATTATCGTCATTTTATTCCGTTAGGATTATATCGGTATGATTATATTGGTAGACACAACTTAAATTAATTATTATAATTAGGATTTATGGCTGGTGGAATAAATATTTAATATTTAATATTAGGAAAATATTTTCTTAGTATACAACACATTTATGCCTAATTGTTCAATTATTTTTAAAAAATTTTGAATTTTGTCAAAAATTCATAAAATTATTAGACATAGAAGACAAAAATAAAAATTTTCTTTTAATATGGAACATTATTTAAAAATTCGAAAAATAACATCTATAAAAATTATGACGAGCTCAAACAAAAGCAAAACTTCAGAATAAAAATTATGAGTTGTGAGCATCATGCAGAGCTCTGAACATGGGACTATGGAGTTGGTTTCAAAAAAAGCACCTGTCCGATTCGATAATTCTACGAGTTACTGCAGTCGTCTCTTTCCCGGGGATATAGCTTTCAGTGAATACATCTCCTAGTAGCAGGGTAGAAAGACATGCATGCAAAACATAGGGTCTTATATTTCAAGGTCGTTCCCGCTATGCACAAAAGATGACAGAGGCTTTAAAGGAAAGTATTTCTGAAAGTATCCGAGCTTCCATACGATAAAACTTACCAAGAAGATTGATCCGATCTATCGATTTATCTGGAGTCGTAAAATAGCTTATCAGATTTGATATGTTGTGGCTATTGATGTTTCTGACTGCTGGGAATATCAGGCTGCAGAGTTTTGGAAGAGGTGGAGGAATGAGGTAGGGGCAAGGCCTTCATCGAGAGCTCGATTTTCGACTTACCGTGTGCTTTCCTCTTCAATTGTTCGAGCATTCGCTGGGCTTCTCTAAGTTCATCTTCTGCAGCTGAGCCATGGCCTTCCCAAGCATCAACCACTTGCTCTTGGAATTCAATTGCAAGGGCGTAACTAGCACCAACACACAGAAAAAAAGAGTAAATTAATGAGATCATGAATGGCCTCACTACCCCAATTGCTGCAGAGTTTCTTTCTCTAATCATATATTGATGCAAGCAACAAAGGTGTTTATCATGAATATTGATAGAAAACCACAACTTTCTGCACGTTTTTGCATCATTCAATAACAAATGATAAAGAAACCAAGAACAGGACCAGCGAAAGCCCTCTGCCCTTTAATATTCTATTCCAAATAGTAGTGTGATATCTACCAAGAAGCACAGACACAAACATGGGATGTAGACACAAACACGGGACAGACACAGTGACATGTCGATGTCTAAAAAGAGTAGGACATGAACGCGTTGGGGACACGTTTTTTCCTTCAAACATAACATAGAAACAAATATACTTCACTATAAACATAGAAGTAAAATCATCAAACATATTTGAAATCTTAAAAGATAGAGAAAAATTGAGATGATTACGGCTATAGAGAAAGATGATGAAGATATAAGGATTCTATAAGGAAACCTCTATTCTTCCTAGTTTTTAGGTTAAATATTTTTTTGAGACGTGACCAAGCCGTATCCAAGTCCAAAATTTTAAAAACTATATTTAATCCATACACGTCTTTTAGCTTGTTTGTGCTTCCTAGGATATTTATCATGTCTGTCAAGTGACTCTCGAAGGAAATTCAATTCCAAGATCAACCTATTAGTTTGGGTAGTCCAAAAATCAGTTAGAATCCTTGCTGTTAGCAGATATTGTTCGTTTTGGCTTGTTACATATTGCTGTTAGCCTCATGATTTTAAAACACGTCTACTAGGAAGAGCTTTCCATACCCTTATAAGGAATGCTTCATTCCCCTCTCCAACCGATATGGGATCTCACAATCCACCCCCTTAAGGGCTCAACGTCCTCGTTGGCACACCACCCGATGTCTGACTCTGATACCATTTGTAACAGCCTAAACCCACCGCTAGTAGATAATGTCCGCTTTTGCCCATTACGTATCGCCATCAGTCTCACGGTTTTAAAACGCGTCTACTAAGAAGAGGTTTCTACACCCGGTCAGAAGACATTACATGGATCAGTTTCCTACTCTACCATTCAATACAAAACACTTGGATCTCCCTAATCCACATGGTTCTGTGTCTCAATGTGATCCATAAAACCCAACTACCTCAATAAGGATGTCAAAGAATGATAATGAGTAAAACACTTGAAAGTAACCATACCTTCCCAATGAGCCATATGCTTTTGCAAGATTCTGACAGGCTTCAATGGAATCTGCGTGATGGGGGCCAAGTGATACGTCCATAATGTCCTTTGCCATTGCGAACATCTGCGCAGCCGATTGAAGTCTCTCGAGTTCCAAATATGCAGCTCCAAGATTATTGTATATATATCCAACTCCAAAATGCTTGGAACCAAAACTCTCTTTCAGAGTCTCTGCTGCACCCTCCAAGTATGGAATAGCTTCATGAACTTTACCAGTCAACAGTAGCAACCACCCTAATCTAGCTGAAACACTACCTTCTGAGTGCTGTTCTTGAGGAAGCTTCTCAAGCAAAGCTAGAGATCTTTTCAATAATGAAATTGCAGTTTCAAACTCGTTCATCGACTCATACTGCATTGATATTTCTGAATACGCCTCAGCAGCTTCCACTGGAGAAGCTGCTTCTTTCTTGTCGAAAATTCGAGTAGCAATCTCCAAACATCTCTTTGCATCAGCAAACTTTTCCTGATTATGCAACACTTTTCCCATTGAGATAAACACCACTGCCTGAGTTTCGCTGTCTTTTTCGGTATGCTGAACAACATCCTTAAGAGTACTGATGGCCTCATCGTACCTACCGAGCGCAATTTGCATATTAGCAGCATCGATTTCTGCACGAAGTAAATCAGAATTAAGGCCCCAGTTCTTCAAAACCTTCTGAGACAATTCATTCTGCTCCAATGCCTTTTGATGTTCTTCCAACCCACTGTAAATCACCCCAAGAAGCCTCCTATCATGAGCAACTTCAACTGAATTATGCCCCAACTGCTTCTTGTGTATCTCCAATGCCTGCATACAAAAGGGAAGAGCATCCTTGAAGTTCAATATAGCAACATAAGCTTCTGCCAAATCTCGATTCGCCTTCCCCAGTTCTCGACTATCCTTCTCCAAGGTTAACTCCTTGATCTCTAAACACTTCCTGAGATTAGCAAGAGCTTCTTCTCTCCTCCCCATTGCAGTCTTAACATTTGCCAACTCAAGTTGCACAGCATGAAGCACTGGCCTAATACCCTCAGCACTAAAGCCACTCTCCTCTAACTGACCTAGAATCCTATTAGCCCTATTTAAGTACCCCAAACTGTCACTAAACCTTTTCAAGCTATAATTAACAGAACCCAACAATTGTAAAGTCATAGCAACAGGTAAAGAAGGTTTCCCATTATCATCTTTATCCAAGGCTTTCAAAGCTCTAGTAGCATAAACCAGTATCTTTTCAGGATCCTCATCTTCTTGCTCAAGTTTCAGACCGATTTTCAAGGAAGCCAACCCGAGATCCCTCTCTTCAAAAGTGGATTCCATGTCCTTAAACGCCTTGACCATTTCATCAACAGTGTTTGCAGATTCAAAAGCCTCCTCAAGCTCGGATTTCTCCTTGAATTTTCGCTGTCTTGAAGAAATTTGAGGGCGTTTCTCCACGAGGGTTTCCAAATTCCGAGATGGGTTTGCTTGAAATCGGCTGAGCTTGAAGAACAATCCATGGTTTTTGGTGCAGGGATTGAGATGGGGGGCTGAAACAGGGGAGGAATATGAAGGGGAAGGATCGGAAATGAACTTCGGCGAAATGAGGGATGAAAGTGAGCGGAGATTGATACGATTGGAGTGAAAAAGAAGTGAAATTGAGGCGTTTCTTCTCATTGTGGCACCGAAACTGAATGATCTGCTGCGCTGTTGCGAGGTTTTTGCAAAACCCTTCTCTCAATGCAGGTCGAGGAATCGAAGCCTCGAAGGTGGATTAAACGTCGACGTTTTGTCAGCGGCTTTTGCTAAATCTATTATTTCCCAATTTTTCTCCATATTTTCAAGTTTTAAATTTGTCTCCCATCTAATAAATAATTTTAAAAATTTTAATTATATTTATCTTTGTTTTATATCGGGAGAAAAACCGAGCTACATTCTATAGTCAATGTTATTTCTAAATCGACTGTTCGAGCTTGGAATAATCCACAAAATAGTTAATAGCATTAAAAAAAATAAAAAATTGTCATGTATGCATACGAACACCTATATGAACCTGAACTCAAATGAGAGGTATACATTTAACCCAAACTGACCCAACTCCAATTATAGGGATTGGGTTATGTTAGATTAGAATTTCAAGTTGGGTTGGGTTAATTTTCTAAGCATCATTGAATAATAAATTTTTGTGATATAGCACACGTTCAACATTAATAATTTATTGTTTATGTCATCACAATGTCACCCCACACGTGGATTAGAGCTTTATTATTCATTAGAATTCAAATTCATAACTTGTGGGTCCCAATTCAAACCTACAATAATTTAAATTGTTATTATTTTAATTTTCTTTTTCTTCTATGACTTTTTTTTTTTTTGGTGACCATAAATCCTATTTTGCCACTCCACCTTGTTCAACCGTTTAGGGTCCACTTTAGTGACGATAATGACTCGATTTCTACCGTTATTTTGATGCATGTTAATAAACTTTTGTGAAAGTACTCATTTAATATGGGATTAAAATCATTATTTTTATTATTAAAAATAAAATAATTATCCACGTCAAAGATGATGACGCCTGAAGAAGGTGAAGGAATGAGAGGTAAAGAAGAAAATGAAGCCACTTGTTGCGACCGTGGTAAGAACATAGAGCGAGATTTTAGGAAGAGACAAAGATATTAAGGGAGAGAGATAACGAGAGCGTCTAGCAGCTTCGTTCCTCTTAAAAGAAACAAACTTTTTTGTTCCTTAATCAAACTCTAAAGGGCTCGATCAAACCCGTTCAAATTTCTCTAATTTTAATTTAACCAGCCGAACAAATTCGAAAAAAAATCAAAGGTTTGAATTTCCTCTCGTGTGTTCAGTCGAGAAGAAAAAATTCAATAAAAGGTCCCTTATTTTTCTTTTGTTTTGCCATTTTTAGAACTATCTGGGGATGGTGGCTGGTCAATTTGAGCATCCTTGAAAAGTATTAGCTTTTTAGGATCCCCACGTGTATCCCTCCTTTCAAATAATTGCTTATATTTCTATGTTCGATATTCCACGTCATCGTATAAATTTATAGAAATATATTTTTTCAGGTCAGAGTTTCATTATTGATTCAGTGTCACAAATGTGAATCTTACTGGACAAAACATGAACTCTCGATCGAAAGTTAAATATTTGAATCTTTTACCCCACATGTAGTTAGAAGTGTTCATGTGATTCGAGAACCCGACCAACATAAAATAGACTACGAAATTTAAATCATAAAAGTTGGGGTCGGGTTAGGTTTAATTTTCTGATATGGGTTGGCTTAATTATTTTAAAAATCGAAAATTTAGATTAGTTTGTGGGTTGAAATTGGATTCGTTGGACTGAATTTGAAATTTGGAGTGAAGTAAGAAAATCATTTATTTATTTATTTTTTATTTTAACAATTTCAAACAAATAACAAACAACAAATTTAGTGCAGCTGAAAAAAAAAACATAATCAAATTACTAAAAGATTTGAAACTGATCAACATTCCCCAATCCACCATCCTCAATTGTTCCGATCAAATCCTTCTCCTTCCGACTGCAAAAGTTCCTCCAAGAGTTCATTATCCAAATACTCGAACTCTATCACTTCCCCCGATCGATAGTTCGCATTGCTGCCGGAGTAATTTCCGACGAAAGAGATCGTCGTCGCTGATGAAGAAGGCGCCGCCGCGAAATGAGGGTTTCCACTTTGGTACTCATTCGGAAAATTCAGAATCGCCAAATGTCCTCTGAACGCATACGCCGCTTGATCGTACGCTCTTGCCGCTTCCTCCGCCGTGTCGAATGTCCCTAACCACAGCCGAGCGCCGTTCCTCGACGGATCACGAATCTCCGCCGCAAATTTCCCCCATGGACGCCGCCGTATCCCTCGGTAACGAGCTTCGTTTGTCGACCTCTTCCCTCCATTTCCTGTTTTCTTTCCTTCCATTTTTATTCTTTTTGGTTATAATTATGAACACTGCAACAGAGAACTGCAGCTGGGGAACGATTTAGATTTCAAAATTGGAGAACCGCCAACGAGATAATGGAAATCTATTATATTTATAAGTGAATTTAATACACTAGAAACTAAGTCAGCCATGTTTGAAGGTTGAAATTGTCGTATGTGGTGAGGGGAGTTTCTGGGAAGATGAATTGATTGATTCCTCTAATTTTAGTGTTTTGAGCCGTCGGGGATGAGCTTTGCAGGGGGGATTTTGTCTGAACTCTGTAGGATTCCATTATTTTAATGGGAAATTTTTAAGGTTGCTTTTGTGAATTGAAATTGAAATTGAAATTTGTTTATAGGTTAAAACGTAAGATAGATGTATGCATGATGGTCTCTGTTGTCTCTGGAAGGGGGCTGATTGTATATTCCAACAACTTTTTGTGTTCCTTATCCAAATTGATACACACACCCTGTTTGTCTCTATTACTCAATCCTTGGGTAGGGAGCTTTGACCTGCTGTGGTGCTGTTGAATTGAATGGGGCTTTTATAATATATTATAAGGAAAGATACAAAGACAAAATTCTGGGGAAAATCTAAGAACATCTATGTTTTGTGGGGTATATTTTATTATTCACAAAAGATGACTTGGGAACATTGTTTTTTTTGATAAATTATGATCATGGAGAGCGTCATGCTGATGCTCTGGGTGATCTGTTGTGAAAATTGGATCTCTACATGTAGGGGAAAAGTAGAGGAAAAGGAGAACTGTGAAGCTATGGACACCCATCTGGTGTGTGATAGCCATAGGAACTGTTGATGGTCAAGCTAGAAACCGTATAGTAGAGCCGTGAGCATGAAAAGATGGAAGGGTTTCATCTATGAAGTTTGCGTATACTTGTCTGTGTCTTGTTTAGTCAAGATAATTCAACGAGGTCACCACAATGTGTCAGAGAGTTCTTCATTATAAGATTTATGAGAGAGAAGTACTTCGAATTTATAGCTAGTAATAAGTAGGACATACAAATTTTTTAATCTACATCCAACTTGTGAAGCTATGGACACCGACTTGGTGTGTGATAGCCTCAGGAACTATTGATGGTCTAGCTAGAAACCATGTAGTAGAGTCGTGAGCCTAAAAAGATGGAAGAGTTTCATCTATGAACTTTGCCTATTCTTGTTTGTGTGTTGTTTAGTCAAAGATAATTCAACGACGTGGCCACAATGTTACATAAAGATTTTCATTTTAGGATGTACGAGAGAGAAATACTTCGAAGTTATAACTAGTGGTGAGTAGGAGACATACAAATTTTTTAATCTACGTCTAACTTTTATTAAGTCTTTAATTCTTATACTTTCAAATCCCTTATCTCGAAAAATCTCATCAAAATTAACCTGCTCATTTGTAACGCATCGTAGGTTTCTTCGTCGTGGTCACGAACAATAGCGCAGCCTGCCGATCCATCTCATCAATGATCACAACTGCATCAGAATTCACCTCAAATCAGAGGACTGATGGGCACTCGATGAAAGCCTGTGAGTTGGAGACAACTGCCCATCCAACTAAAGACCTTCGTCTATGCCAAATATCAGAGAGGCAGTGAGGGGAAAATACTCTTTATAGCCCAACAGGTTAAGCGTCTCGCAAGCCTAGCCCATAGGCAGCTGAGGCACCTCTGCATGACTCCACCTCGCACAATCTATTCGAGCTCTATGATATACCTTGATCGGTGGTCGGTTTGACCCTAAGAAGTGAAGACACAAGCTCAATCCAAGTCCAAGCCCATCGGCTTAAAATACTTTCTAAGCCTCGATTGGGTCGACTCAATCTTCAAAAGTCAAGCCCATGACCCAATTCTTAGACTTGATTCATTTGATCCAAGTTTGAGTCGAGGTTGGGTTAGTCGATTGGACCAACCCTTTGAATATTAATTATCTTTTTACAACGTTATTAAAATTTTATTAAATTTCTTGTTTAGTGTATTGTAAAGTTCAAATCTTACGGTTCAAGAGCTACTGAGTTAATTAAAGTGACTCGAGAAACAATTTTTTTTTTTTTTTTTATAGATTCAAGTTCACTCGATGAATTAATAAATTAATTAATTTTTTTTTTGATTTAGTGGCATGTAATTTCTTTTGACATATGAACTAAACTTGAATTTTAAAATTTAAATTTAATAATATTTTCAAATTTTACATGCTAAATAGAAATTATATTAAAATCTATGCAACAGAAAAATAAAATTTCCAATTAAAATGGAAAAATGTAGTATTGAAAGGCAACTAATGAAATAAAATTAGTCCTGAAATCTGCAGCCCTAGCGGTCGTCCAAATCCACGATTCCTCGCCTGCACAGCGCTTGCACTGTTATTCCAATCTCCAGTCTCCACCAACACGTCGGCGTCGCCGTCGCCCAACGCTCATCGTGGACGCCCACGTTCCAGTCAGGTGTGCGGTGTGTAGTCTGTATTCTGATCTGTTCTTTTTATCACCTTTGGCGAAGCAATGAATTTCCAATAGCAGCGAAAGAACAGTTGAAGCCGTCGAGGAATTGCCTCCAATTCAGCAGCGAAAGAACAGTTGAAGCCGTCGAGGAATTGCCTCAAATTCAGCAGCGAAAGAACAGTTGAAGCCGTCGAGGAATTGCCTCCAATTCAGCCGCTCAATCCTTCTCGGCAAGCAAATTCAACAAGCACACTGAGCAGCTAACCACTCTCTGTACAGCCCCTTCAGTTTTTTCGGGTGTCTGTTTCAGGTTGGGCCAAGAAAAAACCCCTCAACCCAACCCGCGTATACCCCCTTCGTTATATTATTGGTTATAAATTTTTCTGTTAAAAAAGAATATTCATCGTAGATTTGAACGAAAAGAATTCTCAATTATCTTGGCATATTACAATTTTTCTTTTATTAAGCTAAAGTCGGTTATGTTGACAGCAGCCCTTCAAGTTTCTATTAATTATAGAGGAAAAGAACGAACATCTAAAAATTCCTGTTCTCCACAGCAGATCGCCGGTGGACTCTCTTCCCCACCATCGCCACAATTTCCCTCCTCTTCTATCGTTCAAATCCCAAATCTTATTTGCTACTCTAAGGTTAGTCAAACTTCAGTTCCCGAAGCTTTTTCTTTCTGGGGTTTTTCATTTTCTTTATCTGATTGATTGATGATATCTAATTTTCGTTTATTTCGTTACAATTTAGTAAAGGGCAGTGCAACTTCTTTTGCTGCTTCTTGTGTCTTCCTTCGGCTTTGTTTTGAAGTGGCTGTCTTTTATTAACTGATATTCTAACATACTGGAGGTTTCTTGGTGCTTTAGAATCAATATGGCTTTTGTTCTCTTTAAATTGGGATAATGGGTATCGGTATTTCTGTTTGCTATGGCTAATTTTGTAGCGGGTTTGATTTTTCCAGATTAAATCTTGCTTGCTTATTCTTTACAAAGAGGGAGGCGCCTCGTGAATTGAAGTTTGAAACTTTTGCTGTCTAATGAAGGTCAGCGTGGAATTCAATTGTACCTGAAGTGTTCATATTGTCGTGTTTGCAACATGTCGTTCCAATATGTTTGATATCTTTTACGTCAAATTTCTACATTCCCCCCTTTTTTCTTTTTGCATTTAGTAACTTTTGGTTATGCCTTTTTTCAATGGTCAGACGCAAGGAGGAGATGGTGGAGTTATTGACATAGAGAAAACAACACTATTGCTGGAACCAGAGAATAATTCTGAAGGGGGATTGTCAGTTCCTGGAAAGGACAGACCGGTGTTTAGACCTCCTGAGAGAAGATCTCATCTAGGTGCGACTATTATTGACATGCATTTGTATTTGTTTTATCTCTTAAACTGAATAAGCATTCAAGATAACGGAGGACAACATTCTAGAATTTTAAATGGATAGGTTTTGGACCTAAATTTGAGAGATTTTCGATTATGGTAGGGATTAGTGGTTCTTGTCCATATTAATAAACATTAGATAAGATTGGATGAAAACCTCTAGGAAGAAACCACAAGAACAATGAGATTCCAAATATTCTTCATGAGTATTTGTTTTCTCTACCCTATTTTGAATGTCTTTGAGTCCATTTCAAGTCTTAAAATTAAGATAAATATGTCCAGGGGTTGGCTAAACTACGCTAGTTAGGTGCGCATAGCTGGTACTTAGTAGGTGGGAGATCTCTTATCTCCTATTGTCTTACCTTGGCTTCCTCTGGGTAATAATTCAAGATCCCATTGAGATCCGGGTGTTGAGGGTTTAGGAACTTTTATGTGCTCGGAAGAAAGGTTTTTTTCTCTGTTATATTCACCTTGACATTATGAAGAATTCTGTTTGAGATATTTATTTATTTTTTGATGTTCAGGCCTCGATGTACTTGCAAATGCAAAACGGGGAGGATCTAATGATAATGGATTCAAAATCCCCAAGCAAAGTATTGCTTCTTTTGTTTCGTCAATGGAGGAAGAGGAGACACTTGAATTATCTGGTGTCATTGATTCGGGAAAAGAATCTATTTCACATAATCATTCTGTTAAAAATCGGAATTATCGGGAAATAGTTTCCAATGATTCATATGAAGGTACTTTTCCCTTGAAAGTTTCTATCATGCTAAGTTTCTTTTTTCCTTTTCTTTTTCTACTTACAACTCTAGGTATAATATATATATTTTGATAGAAAAAATGTGGACTTGAAAATAAAAGAAAAGAACTGAGGGCAGGGGTAGAGATTGCCCCTCCCATGAAGCTACGTACAAAAAACTTATATATTGTCATTACAATGTAGGTGTAAATTGTTTGAAGGGAAATGTTATGTGATCAATCCTGTGATGTTCCCCCAGGAATCGGAATGGAACATATATTTAGTTTTCTTTTCTTTAGGAGAAAAGTCATCTCTCCTTTGGTTGAACATCGCCTTGGTCCCATACCCATTTGTAAAATTTAGACTGATGAGGAACGGGAGAATATTTGAGGCATTGGGAGGGATGGATATGTTTTTATATATTTGATTAGTTGCGCCTCTTGAAGTGGCTTTTAGATGAGCATTTTTGTGGTTGTTCTCCATAGTT